CCACCGCTGTAATTTCTCTTCTCGTTCTTCTTGTTTATTTTCTCGTTCTTCTTGTTTCTTTTGCTGCTCTTGTATTGCTGCCATCAAGTCTGCATAGCTGTAGTTTGATTTTTCACCTCTTGTTTCCATCTTCTTCTTATTTTTTCTATCCCACTCTCTGACACCAATTTGTTACATCTCCGTTCGTTCGTTAATTAATTTTCCGTAAATCTGTTCCGACGAAACTTTAGCGACACAAGTCCTTTCTTAAATAAAACTGGTTTATTTTTTCCGAATACAACTTTACCGATACACTTAATTTCAACAGTCGCTCTATAACAAACGCTATAATTCTCAACGAACGTTTCACGTGCTCGTGCTCGACAATACTCAGTTTAATTACACATACTGTTCCCGTCACTTTGTGACCGTCTTATATATACAAGACTAACACATATCTAGTAAACGCTAGAGCATTCATGAAGGAACAGGATATTTCTAGAAGGAGGTGGCGTGATACTTGTCACGTGACCTCGCTGACGCAACACCGTAATAGTGAAACGTTGATCAATTAAATAAATTATTTCTGGAGTACTGTGGTCGTTTATGATATTATTACATATAATGTAATCCGGTATTGATGACAAATACTAAATGGCAATACCTAATTAGGGAATATAATCTGTATTAATAATTGGTAAAAATGAGGTTGTAACAATCAAATATTATCTAAACTAACAGCAGCATCAAGATAACAGTTGTAAATTAACGTAAGAAAATCAGTTATTATTTAAAATAAAGTAGAATATATGCACTGTTATCCCATGAAATGATAAACACTTTGATATAATTTGAAATTAGCAACAGAGGGTCTAAGCGGAAGCATATACATATGCGGAAAAGTGTGAGAAAACACTTTTCTGCTTTTTTTCGCGCTTCATTAAAGTTATTTTTCCTGGGTAGAGGCCGCTTTATTTGCACACTTCGGATGGTTTTGAGCGACGAGGGTATGTGAAACTGTAAGATCTGTTTCATTATGTATTACATACGTTTAAGTTTTGTGTATGTGTATATATATATATATATATATATATAGAAATAATACTTTAACAAAAGTAAGTTAATTTAGTTAATACGTGTGAACCACTATTTGTGAGAAATTTGTGAATATGTTAATCAGTAATTGTTTTGTTGTTGTTTTTTCACTTTTGGTTATTGTATCAAGGTCGACGCGTGGCACACCTGGATAGAGTTCGAATTGTAAAACCGGTTCGCTATGTGTTTATGTAAGTGCTACTGCTATCATAGAGGCGAGTGGTTTACGTTTCCTCGTTTTCAACAACTTCAGACGATGCGTTGGTAAGGCCTAAACCAAATTTAAATTGCATTAAAAGGCCTTTTTTTAGCATATAAAGTTTCAAACGAAAAGTTTTAACATTAGGAATTTAAGGCAATAATACATATAATTGAAAATTATTTCTAGAGAATTTTGCTCAGTACTGTTGTTATAGTGTAACTTAAGTCAGATATTTTGTCATTGTAATTTGTGTCTTAAAAATATATTAAGTTCCTAAATATGCTCAGCCTATTTAAATGCAGTTTTCTAGTGAAATACTGCTGTACGAGTTACGATGAAAATGTGTTTTTGTTTTTGTTATTCATTATCTTAAGTTAAAATACATATAGCAAAACACTGTAACAAATGTCCTTAAGTAAGAAATAATATATTTGCATAATTACAAGGCGCCTGCACTATTTTTTAGCTAACCCAAAAAGTTTTTGAAAAACTTCATAACAACTCTTTAACAGTAACATGCGTTGTCGTGTCACGTGGTTTTGAAATTTTGTCCTGTATTCTGGTTTTCAATAGTAGTATTACAGTTATATGAAGAAACTTGTAGTATGAACGTTCTTTGTACAATGGTGTGAGCGATATCGCTTTGTATGGCAAGATTCTGAAGTTTGAAAATCGTACAAAATTTTGTTTTTTACTTACTTTAGGCAACTACATCGAAGGTGTACTTCAACTGCCAATTACTTTTATTTGAACCTCAACTGGCAGTAAGCTCCCACTGCCTGGATAGAGTATTAGCTATCTGACTGCTTCTTTTAGTTGTACGAAGCGCATCGCTTCAGACCACGTGCATAATATAAATATTTATTAATTGCGCATTTTTATTTGTGTACGTACACTATCTTTACCACCATCTAGAAGCCCGGCATGGCCAGGTGGTTAGGGCACTCGATTCGTAATCTGCGGGTCGCGGGTTCGAATCCCCGTCCCACCAAACATGCTCGCCCTTTCAGCCGTGGGGGCGTTATAATGTGACGGTCAATTCCACTATTCGTTGGTAAAAGAGTAGCCCAAGAGTTGGCTAAATTAGGGACGGCTAGCGCAGATAGCCCTCGTGTCGCTTTGCGCCAAATTCAAAACAAACAAACCATCTAGAAATATAGCAATATGTGTATCAGTAGTCATAAATACTACCGTGGGCGCCCGCAGGAAGGGGAATCCCCCCGTACATTTCACAAAATAATGCACGTATTATGATGTAAAAGTATTTTTAGTAATTTTTATTAAAACTGTAAATTTTTGTTTGCGTTTCAGCACACATAATACATTCTTTTAGTCTGTTGACTTGCACTGTAAAAGCTGATCCCCTACATACATGTTTTGCTTCCTTTAAAATATTTCCGTGGGCGCCCATGAATAAGTACCACAGAGAGATGCGATTAAAAAAAACTCGTAATGTGCTTTACAAAATTGTTCACGTCTTTTCGCATAATACTTGGAAAATATAAAAAATCTCCACTTCGTCTCGTTAATGCAAGTTGGGTGCATATCAGTAACGTTCCTTCGCATTTGAAAAATAATGCAAAAAAGTCGATGTTTCTTTTATCCAAGAACAAAAATTTTTGATTGCGTCAAAATACGTATGTGTTTATTCTAATGTTAACATAAAACAAAACAAAAACTGAATCCGACACTGGGATGAAACACCAACCAATAATCTTTTCCGTCGTTATTATTCAATTGTTTGCTGCAAAGGTGAATTGAGCAAAAAGTTAGCATCTAGATTACTTGGAGTAAATGCCACATTATGGCTTGCGTTTAAGAACTTGTATTTATGCAAACAATTGCTTTTGTAGAAAAAAAAAAAGGTTAAAATGAGCAGCAAACAACCTGTGGTAAACTGGTGTCTCTTTTGCAGTGTTTGTAGTCCTGAAGAGACCAATTCAGTTGAAATCAGAACAGGGGAATATGCAACAAAAAATAAAATAAAAATAACTGTAGTGGGTGACGACTTTTTGGTTGACTTGTTACCTTGTTTCCTTATGAATGACGTCACTGCTTCATGCAAACTTGTTTTTTGTCTTCCTGTTTAGATAGTTTTATTCAACCTTCGGACAGTAAGGGACCAGTTGGTCCTCCAAGGCTGTTCTTGCACATCTGCTCTTGGGAAGAATAAAAGTTTAACCCCCACCATTTATGTTTCAGGAAATAATGGATTCCCATTTTTAAAACTCCTATTAAAGTGCTGGCTTCCACTACTTCCGGCGCTAACTCATTCTATAACTCAATCACCCTGTTAGAAATTGAAACTGTCTTAACTGAAGCCTAGCCTTTCTTATCCAGATCTTAACCTTATGTCCTCAGAACGTGACTCAAATAAATCGCAAACCTTTATTCTATCGGTCCTCCGAATAATTTTTCATACTTCAATAACATCACGTTTTGTCCTTCTTTTCTCAAGAGAAAATATGTTAAAAGATTTATCTGTAAGGTAGCCTTTCAATCTTTAGCATCATCCTTGTAGCCCTTCTCTGAACCCTTATATAATGAGGTAGTATCCTTTCTTAGATGAGGAGACTATAATTGTACACAGTATTCCAAGTGAGGCCTAACTATTGATTTACATAGAGATTATTTTTCACTGCTAATCATTAACTGCATTATCATTAACTATTATTAGTGTGTATATAATAAGTGCAAAACTAATAAGCTGGTTTATGAATTTTTGAGAAGGTTCTAGGTAAGACTAATGATAAATAAGTCATGAAACGATTAATACCAAGGGAAAATTACTCAAGTCAGTGATATTCACTAAAGCATTCAAATATAATTGTGACTGCTTTGTGTTTAGACGTATAATTATATCATACACGGGCCAGAAATACGTGTGGATATTTATAGGTTCAAATAATAGGGTGAACAATCGCCAGATTTCTCTGATTGAGCTCCAATATGTTGTTGTTCTTCTTTCAATGTACTCGGAACTTGTAGACCTAAGACATTAGCCAGTTTTTGTAAAGCTACACAAAAGGGAGGAAGGGGAGGCATTGACATGGCTGTTTACTAAAGGACTCTGATCTTACAGAAACGCTACCACATGACAATTTTTAAGAAGTAAAGGTAGCAGACAGAGCATGATCACTGAAAAAAAAATAAAACAAAACGTGGTCTTCAATAATAGTATGTCGGAACTTAACCATATTTTCCATAAGAAAAAATATAAATGACCTTTCGCATTTATACTGTTCAAACATAGTTGATGAAACATATGCCTGAAAGCTTGAATATTAATAATCTCTAAAATCTGAAACCTAGCTGTTAAAACAAATGCATTACACAATTACAATGTCCAGTCATTGTGTGATGCATTATCTCTTAACCAATATATGATTTTTAATATTTATACTTTTAGGTTAAAATACATTTATTTGTCAAGAAAATTCCATATCTAATTATTACTTTTGTCTGATCTCGCAGGTGCAAACCAGTTCGTTCTACAACTTCATGATCGAGCTACAAACACTGATATTAATAGTTGTGGTCGTCAGCGTTGTCTTCATTGCAGCCATTACTGCTGCTTTGTGTTGGTTGTAAGTACCAGGAATAGACTAATCACACCAACATTTTTAGATTACCAAGAAACATTATCGTAGGGTTTATCTTTGTTTTGTTTTTTTGTTGTTGTTTTGTTAATTATCATGTCTATTTGAAATTACCTTGCATTATTCTAGCTCATACTTTTTATTAGTTATAATTTCAAATAATATTTTTACCATAATAAAATATTCTATAAAATAGGTGTCGCCAAAACTGCTGTGCCCTGAGTATTTTTGTTTTTGTTTTTGAATTTCGCGCAAAGCTGCACGAGGGCTATCTGCGCTAGCTGTCCCTAATTTAGCAGTGTAAGACTAGAGGGAAGACAGCTAGTCATCACCACCCACCGCCAACTCTTGAGCTACTCTTTTACCAACGAATAGTGGGATTGACCCTGAAAGGGCGAGCATGTTTGGTGGGAACGGGGATTCGAACCCGCGACCCTCAGATTGCGAGTCGAGTGACCTAACCACCTGGTCATGCAGGGCAGGGACAAAAGAAAAAAGTCAAAATAAAATGTGGCATGAAGTAACCTGTTCTGAAATTATTGTATTCAAACCATTATGGAGATATGAATGAAATTATTATTTAATAAGGTGGTACCAAAACTAGAAGTCTAAACGGAACTTGCAAAAAATGATACAGTCCTAGAATTTGAAGGACATCAAGATATGTTTTGTTTGTAGTTAAGCACAAAGTTACACAATGAGCTATTTATGTTGTTCCCTTCACAGGTACCGAAATGTAATTTTTAGCGTTATAAGTCCGCAAATTTACTGCTGAGCCGCTAGAGGGCGTATCTTAAGATCTTATAATTCACACCTGAGAGTGACGAAGGAGGATGAGATTGAAATGTTCAAAGAAACAGTTTTGACAACTTTAAAAGAGAAATAAAAAATAATAAAAATGAAAGGGCCAATTTTATTCATAACGAAAAAATAGTAACGGTTAGGCCATGCCGGGCTGCCCTGAGTAACTCAAGTTAGAAGACGTTGCTACGGTAACCACTCTATAATGACTGACCCTGCCTGTGGACTGATAAGCATGGCATTATTTTTAACCTCTTTATACCCAATTAGATAAAACAAATGAAATTATTTTCTTTTTTAATGACTAGTAGTGCTTTGAAAAATCCAGCGTGGAAAGGTATTGTCATACAAGAACGAGGATTGATGAATGACTGTATCAATAGATCAATATTTGTGCGCTGCTAGCTGCATAATGTATTAAGTAAAGGTAGAAGATAGGCCTCATCACTACTGGATGTGGCAGATTTAGTATTACTGACATACAGGGTGCCCGAAAAGTCTGGAATCATAGGAACTTCAACGAATTTTACAGAATGTGTTCCACATGTTGCCCTTGTAATTCGAAACAAGTTTGGAGAAGGTATTTCCATTCCCAAGCATATTTGTGTCATTGTCAATGGTCCGACGCTCGTCGCAAATTCGTTGTTTCAGATGTTCGGTGTCTCTGATCTCCTCTTTGTACACACGTGCCTTGAGCAGTCCCCAGAGAAAGAAGTCCATGAGAGTCAAGTCTGGAGATCTTGGGGCCTATTCCTAGGAACCACGTCTGCCAATCAACTGTTCTGGTAGGGTGTCATCCACGCCTTTGAAATTAAGAAAAGCTGCAAGTCACCAATGGTTCCAGATTTTTTTTTGTGGACATCCTGTATTATGAAATATTTTTCTTTGCTTTCAATTGTGGGTTCTTAGTATATTCTCTTAAAACATCATAATGTTAGTCCACATACTGTTTGCTGGGCAACAGTGGCCATTAGTCACTAACACTTTTCCCATAGTCACTTACATGCATATAATTATTTATTTATTTTTAGTTTTAAGGGCTGGACATGGCTTAGTGGTTAGCATTACCGGAGTTCACTACCTGTTGTTGCAAAAACACGCTCCGCACTTTGGGGCCGTGAGTATACTGTATAAGTAATGGTCAGATTTCACTGTTCGACCAGACAAGAGTAGCCCAAGAATTGGTGGTTGGTGCTGTTGACTAGCTGCCTTTCATCCAGTATATCTGTTCAAAATTAGAGATACGTAAACCTATCTTTTAATCACTGACCGTAACATTAAAATGTTTATTTTTATTAAACAGTAACTGATACTAAAGTTAGAAAAAAGAAATATAGGCCGATATAGATTACGAATAATGTCTTGATCGAATATAGAGAGTTTTCTGGAAAACAAAAACAAAAAACAGAAGTAATCCTATACATATATTATAAATAATGTTGTAGTAACCTTTACAAAGAAATTCCGAGTTATAATAAGGGACTGGCGATTCTCATATGTGGACAAGAGAGAGGCTAATGGTGTTTCAATGAATCAATAAAGTATTTGTCCGTAAATATTTTTTTATTACCTATCATTCTAAAACTGTTTGTTTGTTTTTACATTTCGTAAAAAGCTACTCGAGGGCTATCTAAGCTAGCCTTTCCTAATTTCGCAGAGATAGACTACAGTCATAACCACCCACCACCAACTATTAGGCTACTCTTTACCAACGTATAATGGGATTGACTGTCACACTATAACTCTCCCACGGCTGAAAGGGCGAGCATGTCCAGGGACAGGATTCGAACCCGCGATTCTCAGCTTGCGAGTCGAGTGCCTTAACTATCAGGCATGTCAGGCCATGAAACATTTGTAAATAGCTTGGTATTAATACTTTCTTTCAAAGAAGCAACTGCATCTATAATACCCGTGAACCAGCTTTTTGTGGAACTATTATATTTATTTTTGATTACAACTAACAGTTTGATTTGGATCTTGGTTGCCATTAGGTTATAAATTAAATCTATATTTTAGCTCAATGGTATTTTGGGTTTTATTTATATTATTTTGACCATCTTTTCACTTTTAAAGATGAAACACTATATTCCTAAATAAATGCAGTATTCCCACCAGAAACTGTTTCAATAACTTTATATAGCCTAGTATTAAGTTAGGCCACTGTTTTCACATGAAGATATTGTTTCGTCAATATTTCAAGGTTAGAGTAAGAAGATGGCGTACTTTAGGAGTAGACGTGGTTTGAAATGGGGAATATTTAAGATCATTAATCTGTTTTAATTCGTATATATAATGTTGAAACTCATCCTATTAATTTATAAAAACATTACAAATCTGTTTTTATAATTTTATTGAATTATCTCTAGTATCTATATCGTTAAGCCTCTTATTTCTCAATATTCTTGTTTGTAGCTCTAGTCTCTGAAAAATAAAAGGAGATACATACACAATAAATATCGCAGCAAACTTTAGAATAAATAAATATAGTAAATATCAAATTGTCGAATTTTAAGACGGTTGACTGTCACAAATAAGACGATTAACACACCCCTCACATTCGTGTGGTAAATACCATACGTAAAGTGAATGATATCATTGGTTTTCTAGAAGTTTTTATAAATAATACATTTATATCACAAGTATCAAACGTAGGCTATCAGTTTGATTTAGATCTTACCACTAGGTGGTTGAAATGTGAAAAATTAAATACGAGTATGGGTATATGATCTTTGTGATGATTGGGTTTTACTTGTATTGTTTTGACACGAGACTTCAACAAGTAGTGTTTTTATTCGTAATCCTGTAGGTGCCGGATATTTCGTCAAGATCGTCGTTTTACACAGAACTATAATTACCATCGTTCCATAGCTATATGTCCAGAATTAGCCAATCAATGCGGAGTTGAAGAAGAACAGGCAAGACTAACCTCGTCCTGTTCCATCGTCCTGTTACCGCCATCCATCATGAATTCTGTTCCTGATGATGAAGAGCAACAGAATGCTAGAAACACAGTTATTGCGTTAGCCAGTTCTTCAGGTCGTGAAGAGAATATTCCAGAAAGATTGGGCGCGTTAAGGCGTCATCAAACAAACAATCTTTCTGGAACAATTTTTGTTGAGCACATGACAGAACGTCAGCTACAATCGGACAGACAATGTGTACAAATTTCTCCTCAGCCGAGCTTTCTTGAAGATGTTATAGTATTGGATGTAAGTTTTGATGTACATTTTGCAGTTTGAAATTTCATATGAAAAATACATTTTATTGCGGGAGGTTGTTATGTTGATTTTTTTAACTTATTATTTTGCAAAAGGCAGAATAATATAAATAAAATTTTACTTTAAAACACAAATTGAGGATTTGATAAAGCATGCGAATATTGTTAGTAAGAGTTACATACCTTTGGTTATCACAATTAAATAAGGAGAAATTAGTATCCACTTTATATTTGAAAATTACATGTTTATTTCAACATAACAGGCATATATTACTAAACCTTTTGATATTTGAACCTTTTTTAAGACGTTAAAAATATAGCTTACAACAATAGATCTGTATATGATATTGTTGTGTTGAGGATATTGATTTCGCTGTTTTAAGGCTTCTTCACACTGCAGCCCGTAAGACTGTCGGTTGTTCGTCTCCTTGCGGCAAAGTTGAGAAAGTTCAACTTTTTTTGGCACTAGCAAACAGAACAGGCTTTCCTCTATCTTCAAAATTGTCTGCAGCTGCAACGTTTGTAACTACTATGTGTAGAATATATTTTATTTAGTTTGTTAAGGATCGCCCAATAATTTATGATAAATAAGCTGTTTCCAAAGACTTCATATTGTATTGTTTATTAAATAAGTGGCACAGCGGTATGTCTGCAAACTTACAACGCTAGAAACCGGGTTTTGATACTCATGGTGGGCGTAGCACTGATAGCCCATTGTATAGCTTTGTGCTTAACTACAACAAAACAAACAAACAACATTTATTTATAGTTTCTATATTTTCATTTTAACTTCTAATCTCTAAAACATACCTCATGTTTTGTGTTTTTATCATTTAGAAGTTCTTTTTTTTTTCGTCAGGGTACAGAGCCACCACCACCTTATGATGACTTGGGATGAAGGGAACAACATTCCTGTTTATGTGATACACAAATAATTTGTAAATAATTAGATGAAGAAAACATCTATAGATTCGATATTTGTGTTAAAAATACAAACTTGTTAGTTTATATGTTTATATAAATATGGAAAAAACTTTATCTTAGTAAGGAATGTAAATCAGTTGTGATTGCTAGAGTATTAGTAAATAATGTTCGTAGGAACCAGTGTAATGTGTTATGTTACATTATATTATTTCAGTTGTGATTGATAGAGTATTAGTAAATAATGTTCGTAGGAACCAGTGTAATGTGTTATGTTACTTGATATTATTTCAGCTGTGATTGCTAGAGTATTAGTAAATAATGTTCGTAGGAACCAGTGTAATGTGTTATGTTACATTATATTATTTCAGTTGTGATTGATAGAGTATTAGTAAATAATGTTCGTAGGAACCAGTGTAATGTGTTATGTTACTTGATATCATTTCAGCTGTGATTGATAGAGCATTAGTAAATAATGTTCGTAGGAACCAGTGTAATGTGTTATGTTACTTGATATTATTTCAGCTGTGATTGATAGAGCATTAGTAAATAATGTTCGTAGGAACCAGTGTCGTGTGTTATATTACTTGATACTATTTAATTGGAGAATTAATGCAATATTATTTTAATAAAAAAGAGAAATGATTGCCCATGAACTTCTATCATCACTCTGTAACAATTCTCAGTCTCCCTGGTGGGACAGTAGTAAGTTTACGAAGTTACAACGCTAAAATCCAGATTTCGATTCCCCGCGGTGGATACAGCAGATAGCCAGCCCAATGTGGCTGTATTCTAAAACAAATAATTCTTGTTAAGTAAACAATAGATCAAATAGTTTTTATTTCATCCAAGGATTTTAGAATCTATCATATTAATTATACTAGCTTCTGGATGGTTGGTTGGTTATTTTAGAACAAAGCCACATTGGACTATCTGCTGTATCCACCACGGGGAATCGTACCCCGCAGTTTAGCGTGGTGAGTATTTAAACTTACCGCTGTCCCACAGGGGGACAGCTTCTAGACGACGAGGGAGCAAGTGTTGAATATAATGTGATACAAAACTTATTGTCATCTTAAATATGATTACAGGTAATAGAAAATTTCGTTTGTTCACTATTTAGGATGAACTAAACGCCTTTTGAGAAGATTTGTTTGTTGTTAAGCGCAAATTTATACAATGACCTATGTGCTGCGCTCACTGTGGGTATCGTAAACATATTTTTAGCGTGATAAGCCCCAGACTTACCGCTGAGCCACCGAGGCAATAAGGTAATAAATAATACAAATAAAAGAAAGCATTTATTATTTAGGAGCTATAGCTTTTCTTCATTAGCTGAAAATACAAGTATTATTTGAAACATTTTTCTAAATGTATTAGCCGGTATTAGTTAGGTGAAAATAAATATACCTATCGATTTAAATGATATTAGTCATAAAATTAATTACTTTATACATCCTTCTCTTCTTTGGCGATCAGTTTTTGAATAACCACAATATAAGAAGTAAAAGTTCGAAACATCTTCTGTTTGAATCGCTTTGCATACTTATTACAAAGTATATGTGACTTTAAGCTCTCTAAATATATTTTTCTAGAGTAATACTGATCGATACAGCTTTAACTCTGTTTCTGAATCGTTTCACTGTAACTTCCATTAATTATAAAATATCAGTGTTCCAAAATCACATAGTTTCAGGATAAATATAATGAAACGGTAACAGACATTTTATACTTTAATGTTTCAGCTTGCTTGCTTGTTTGTTTTAGAGCAACTTGCCCACCGTGGGAATGAACCACGTATTTTAGTGTTGTAATTCTGTAAACTTAATGCTATCTCTCCGGGAAACTAACGTTTCAGAATATATATTTTCCACTTTCAATAAGTTACACTAAACAAATGTAAAATACAAGATACAAAAATTCCTAAATTTATGAAGTTCCAACATTTTATAATGAATTAAAATACGATGTAAAATAATAAAACAATTTATAAAAAGTTATGATGCATGTAGAGTGCAACGTTTTTGTTTTTGTGGAGTTACGTAAGTTACTTAGAACAAACTTAACTAAAGTCAAATGGAGTTTTATTATTAAGAGTTTGTTTGTTTTGAATTTCGCGCAAAGCTACACAAGGGCTATCTGCGCTAGCCATCCCTAATTTAGCAGTGTAAGATTAGAGGGAAGGCAGCTAGTCACCACCACCTACCGCCAACTCTTGGGCTACTCTTTTACCAACGCATAGTGAGATTGGCCGTCATATTATAACGCCCCCACGGCTGAAAGGGCGAGCATGTTTGGTGGGGACGGAGACTCGAACCCGCAGATTATGAGTCGAGCGCCCTAACTCCTGGCCAGACCATTTAGAGTTGGAAATTCATTTGTATTAGATACACTCATTTTAATTTAAAAGTAAGTTATTTGATGATCCAGATGAGATGCTTTTGATACTTTTAAAATCAAGATGGGGTGGTTGCTTCTTTTTTATTCCTATTGGTTACCTGCCCCTAAACTTAAATTTTCTGATTACCTGTTCCTCCTTGAGTGCTCTTGTAAAACCTTGAAACATTAACCTATTTTCAACATAAACTGTTCCCAGAATGCAGATAGCTTTAAAAATCAATTTCAAAAATGCTGTTTTGTCTTGATGTTACAACTTCTATAAAACCAGTTCCACCACCACTCACGAGGTATAAACTGCTTTAAAAGAATTAGCAAATAATTGAAGATATCGCTGTGACTCGACCTGATCTTCACCCTTAATAAACCGAATTACATTAATTAACGAAATTAAATTCATTCCTAACGGCAAAACAAAATTCACGGCTTTTAGTGTTGATTGATTAAAACTCATCATAAGACGAGAAATAAAAACACGTTTTAAGAAGTTGAAAGCAGGGCGGTCACGTTTTTTAAAACATTTGCCCCACACACATAAAAACCACGTATCCTCAACACTTGTTTTCACCATCAGATCAATCCCATTCTCACAAACTAGCTAAACTCCATGTTCCTGTTCTAAATTCACTTACTTTCAACGTGTTTACAGTTAAAATATTTTTTCCGTTGCACAAGAAAAAAGTTTCTAAAATTTCTAACGCTGATCAATACATACTTTCTAGCTTCGACAACGAATCTTAATTCAGTAATATACCATGTAAGGTAATAATCTTAAAGAAACTTTTGCCCAACGAAAATTAAAAATATACCAGATCTGTATAGTTTGAATCTGTGTATCTAAATATTATTGTTATCACTTAGTAAGACTAGTCAACATGTTTTTCTTCTAATTTGAAAGTTTAAACTGCTAATGCTATGCCATTTTCCTTGTCATGGTTAGTTCAGTAGTCGCTTATACTATCATCAAATCTAAATATTAATACTTTTTTTTCTGTTATGGGCTATCTGTGCTCTGCCCACCACGAGTATCGAAACCCGGTTTCTAGCGTTGTAAGTCCGCAGATATACCGCTGTGCCACTGGGGGCATAATACTACGAAATTCTTGTATCCCACCAATGTGAAAATAATGAGTTTATTGGAACTTCTTATGTGGCTGTGTGCCATTTAAAATTGAATGTTTGAATATGATAATGACAATACAGTTTACAATGTAGCGATAATTTTACAATATTTTCTCGTTTGTTTTTTTTTTCGTTTTTTCGAAATACTCTTACATTATTATTATTTTTTATAAATCTCAAAAATGATTGTTTCTTTATTCATCTGAACAACACGTGATGTACACGATGGGCTAAATGGCATAATCGTCCTAACACCTTATGTACACAATGGGCTAAATGGCATAACCGTCCCAACACCTTATTTACACAATGGGCTAAATGGCATAACCGCCCCTAATTTGGAACTACTGATCATAGGGAAAGCAAGTTGTCTGCAACACCTGCCGCCTGAAGAAGCCATTCTTGTCATAATAATGAGATTAACTACTATTCATATTATGCAACCACAGATGAAAGTGCGAAGCGTATTTGGTAGCACCACGTCTCGAACCCATGACCCTCGGATCATCACACTGATACGCTAACCGCTAGGTCACAATTTAACCAATTCAAAACTTAAAGCCCCCCAGTGGCACAGCGGTATGTCTGCGGACTTACAACGCTAGAAACCGGGTTTCGATACCCGTGGTGGGCAGAGCACAGATAGCCCATTGTGTAGTTTTGTGCATAAATTCAAACAAACAAAACTTGAAAAAGCATTTTTACTTACCTAATTCCTAAAGTCTTACAGATATTTTAAACAGTTAGGTAATCCAAATAAACATTAAGTCATTCAAGTCTTGTATTATTATCCCCCGGGGACAGCGGTAAGTTTACGGACTTACAATTTTAAAATCCGAGGTTCGACACAGCAGATAACCGAATGGGGCTTTGCTCTAAAATCAATAGCTAATAAAAGGAATGATCAGGCATTTGCCTACAGTATATGATTTTGTTAAGGGTTTGCGAATTAGGATTATGAATAAAATACAAGGGGTAATCTATAAGGTAGTTATTTCAGTATGAGGAGATAAGTTTCAGAACAGATGCTAAATATTTAATTGAGTATATTGGTACTGTTACACCTCCGTTTGTTAATTAACTTTCCGTAACTTCGTTCCGACGAAACTTTAGCGACCTTACGATACACTTGATTTCAACATTCGCGCTAGAATGTCCTGTCACACCATAAAGCTTCTGTATGGCT